AAGAAAAAAAAAGAAGTAAGGCCAGAATGCTCCCTAAGAGGCAAAGAGGGCAAATCTTTTTCTTACATCCTTTGGACCTGGGTCAGGAGAGACCAGTCTCTAGAGGACATGATGTTTGGTAAGGGGCAGTGAAAAAGAGGAAGGCCCTCAGGGAGATGGATCCACACAGTGGCTGCAACAAGGGGCTCAGTGCACGAGGTTGCTATGGGTGAGGACTGACTGAATGGCACCTAACAACAACTGCGGGGGGGAAAAATCTGAAGACATAACATATATATATATATATATAAGTATGTATGTATGTATATAAATAATATCACCTAAACTTTGATCCCCTCCCCACCCAAAAAAATCCCATGAACATTTTCAACAATATTCTTCCACACAAATCCTTATGGGCACACACACATAAACACACACTACTGGAAAAAGTAAAGAAAAGAAATTATTTTAGGTTTGCCTAGTAGTGCAGAACCACAGAAACATGGCTCCAGCACACGAGTAGACTGGGCATCACTGCTGCTCTTGCCCCGGCTGTTCCTTCGGACACTGAGGCTTTCTGCCCACCCTCAGTGGGGCAGGGGCTTGTCCATGATCTCACCAGGCAGCTCCGAAAGCAGCCAATGAGCGATATGCACCCTGATATAAAGTCGGAAACCTATGTGATGGGAACCTGGCAGACGTTAAAAGGAATGAGAGATCTTTCCTGACACGATTAGAGCTCAGGAAAAGAGGAAGAATTCCTCTCCCACACCATGCAAATGTCAGCCTCCGGCCAGAAGGCAAGGCTTCCTACGCCACCGCTTGGCAGCTTGTGAGCAAGGAAAACAGTATCATGAGCCCAGGGAAAACACCATCACCCCTTCACAGACCTGACACAGTGTTAGGTTCTGAGACACACCAACCCAGTTTGACAACATCCACTTCCTTCACACGCGAGTCAAAACTGGGCACAGAATGCCTTTGGATTTAAGATGGAGATGGGATGGCAAGACAGATGGTATTGCTACAAAAATCATAAAAACCTGTTTAAACAACAACCAGAATGTGAAGTGACTGGTTCCTGGCACATCTTCCATCTAGGTCCACACAGTCGAACCCCAGACCTGGATGCTAATCTGTTCTAGAAGGAGCATCGAGATGTGATGCAGTCAGTTCTGAATCAATTTTTCCCATAAGAAATAACTGATAATGGAGTAATCCGTTCTCCACCACCAAGTTTTTACTCTAACCTTGCCTTTTTATACAAAACATTACACACAGATTTCAAAGTAAATACGTTCAGAGTTAAATAATATAATTT